ACAACAACAACAACAACAACAACAACAACAACAACAACAACAACAACAACAACAACAACAACAACAACAACAACAACAACAACAACAACAACAACCACAACAACAACAACAACCACAACAACACCAGCAGCAACAACAACAGCAACAACACCAAGACAATACCCCGCAACCCTCGCCAACAGCCATGGCAACAACAACAGCGTCCGCAGGCGGCGGCATCAACTTCACGTCGCCGGGCCCCTTTGGCAACGTCCCGCTGCTGTCGCTCGAGGACGCCGAGCAGGCGCTGTCAGCGGCGCGCAAGGAGACGGAGAAGCTTGAGAAGAGTCTCAACCAGCTGATGCGTAAGAACCGTCGGTTGTTGGTCTCGGCTCAGGTGTCTGGCGTGAATGTGAACGTGCTGCCTGCTATTGTTGCTGGTGGTGGTGTTGGTGGGAATGGGGGTGGTGAAATTGCTGTGGGGACAGTGGGGACGGTGGGGGGGCATTGACTAGCTTGGCGCCGCCGCCGCCGCGGGTTGTTTACTGGGGGGCGTTTTGGTGCTGCTGCTGCTGCTTGGTCTGGGTTGGATGATGATGATGATAATGAGGATGAGGATGATGATTCCGGCGCGACTGCTGTGGTGGGTGGGTATGGGGGATATGCATACCATAACTCGTCCGGGGACGGCAGTAGCAGCAGCAGCAGCAACAGAATGGTGGCAAGACGCGATGCAGTCGCTGCCGTGGCGGTGGCGGTCGCGCTGGCGAGGGTGCTCCGCGGGCTGAGCAGCATGGGCGAGACGGCGTTTGCGGCGGTGTGGATGGCCGTGTTGGTGGTGGATAGCGTGGTGGCCATGGCGGCGCAGGGTGCCGTCGTTGCGCTCGAGGTGGTGTGTGCTATGTTGGACTGGGTCGGGGCTGAGTATTGAGGAGGGAGTTGGTGGACTTGCCCGTGATCGTAAAGGGGTTTGCATCGTGGGGTGGGTCTAATGGGTACAGCGTCGTTCTGTGTGTGTTGGTGTTGTGGGATTCGATTGTCGGTCTTCAGCGGAAAAGCGGCGCACAAAGCGAGAGGGTGAGACGGGCTGAACGGCATTGGAGGGTGCGCCGCCGTACCTATTGTTTTACATATGGTGTGACAGCGTTGCAGCCGGTTCCCAAAAATTGAAACAGACCGGTTAAGCCGTCCTGTTGACAGATATTAAACGTGTGAACGCACTAAATCCCTTCTACATCGTCCTGTCTTCGTGTGAGCGCACCGAATCCCTTCTAGATCGCCCTGTTCTGTCCCAATCATCAATCCTCATGTTATCCTAGGCCAAAGCCACGGGAGCGCCCGACCCGCTCTCGGGTTCATCCTCCTCGTCAACCTCGTCGTCCTCGTCATCATCCAAATCATCCCAAGTGTCAGTCATCTCCTCGTCGTCGTCCTCTTCATTCTCCTTGGCATCCTCCTCGCCCTCCCTCTCGTCATCACTGAACTCGCAATAGTCAAGCGAACGTATGAACTCCCTCACCGTCTTGAACCACGTCCTGTGAATAGTCTCCTGTTGCGCAAAGAAATCCTCAGTCCACGGATGGTCACCTTGGTGCTTCAACATCCATATCCTGTACCGTTCGTCCGTCCCTCACCCGGATCGCAACCTCTCCTTGGCCTTTTCCGTCTTCTCAAAGAAGCCCATAGCAGTCTTGATCAACAACTCGGGATCCCAAATCGGACCCTTGGGCCATTTGCTCCGGTCCATGACGGGGTCTGCCTCGAGTAGCTTCTCCGTGTACGCCTCCTCGCCAAAGTACATGCTCAGCAACTTGGCCCACTCGAAGCTCAGAGTCAAGCTTTCCGCGTCGTACTCCTCAAGCCCCGGCAGCTCGACGTCGTTGGCCATCCGCCGCAGCGATACGATGTGGGCCGGATGGAAGATCCTTTGGTCGCAGGTGTAGTCTCCGTGGGTGGGATAGTCGGCCATTGTGTTCGCCCAGCGGCGCTTGGCGACGGGGAGCCAGATGGGGTGCCCCGGAGCTGTGGGGTCTCTCATCACCACGCGGTTTCGGTCGGGCGAGAGACTGTGAAAGACAAACTCGAGCTGCAAGAGACTTTGCCGTGCTCTTCGGAGTGGGCCCCAGCCCAGGTCGAAGTGGACGCAGAGCTTGGGGACGTGGCGCCGGATGAAGACCTCTTCGGTTGCCGACTTCCATGTCCGTGAGACGGGCCGGCAGTTGAGCCAGGTGCTGCCGCAGTCTTTGATGGGCAGGTGGGAGATTATCTTGGTCAGGAACTCGATGGGGAGCTGCGGTTCTTTGGCCGCCGACATGTTTTGTTTGAACCCGTATTACAGGGGCTCAAGCTGGTTTTGGGATCGGAATGATGCCAATCCTCAGAAGGAGGCGACTTTGAAAAGGTCTTGCTCAACCAAAAGGGGATATAAGCGACAACCACCCAAAGAAGTATCAGCAAATCTTTGAAAGGCAATGAAGCAGAGCTGGATGGGGCAATTACAATTTACTTCATGAGCAGCGTTTGCCATCTGCTCTGCAAACAACTTTACAGTGGCCGCCCTCAAAAGAAGTAGGGGGTGATCGGGCACCGCGTTTGCCGGGAAGGAGCACTGGCCACTCACTGCCTGCACTTTCTCAAGACCTTCCTGGGCATCCATCTCCGTTTCTAGCAATGACTCGGGAGCGTCATGCACAATTACGCTGTGCTGATCTGGCCTGTGTCTCCTCTCCTCACTCATTCACCGTTGGCTATGCTGATGACATAAAGAACAACTGTGTCGTTTCCCAAATTCGGTTTGCTTCCCTGTCAGAGCGTTTGCTGGGGATCGAGCACTCACGGTGACCTTCCTGATAGGTCAAGATTCCAGAAAAAACTCGTTTGACGTCGGGAGAGAGTCGATGTAAATGAGGGGTGTGGGCAAATGCTCGGCAGGCCACATCTTCCATTTTCAAGCGGCATGATCCGCACGACTTTCACAATATCGAGGTTAACACAACAAAACAACAACACAAAAGGAAACGGGCACGTACGCCCGGGGCAGAATATTCTGCAAAAGAGAAGGATTCAATGAAGGGCTCAGTCGGGGATCGAACCCGAGACCTCGCACATTCTTTAGCCTGTTTACAGACGTGGGCTATCCACCCGAAGCGCGAATCATACCACTAGACCACTGAGCCGAATCCAATTGATGCTCTCAACGGCCAAATTTTTGATCTATAGTAGCTTACATTCTAACTGAGGCTCTAGTTTTGAGGACGTCTGACTTATCGAAGAGTCCATCTCGCCAGTTTCTCTCTAGCTCCTAAGCTTGGATTTTGTAATCGAACGATTCTGCCTTTGCACACACGCTTACCCTTCCTTAAGCTTGGATAAGCTATTCAGTCTCCGATATCGCACTGAAACGGAGTTGGGCAATTGGTCTAGAGGTATGATTCTCGCTTTGGGTTTGTCTTATCGACAATTCTCTTGCGAGAGGTCCCGGGTTCAATCCCCGGATTGCCCCAAATATCAAAAGAATATTTTTGAGGACATTGACTTAATTAACATAAGCAGTAGGACAAGAGCGCGCAAAGCTCTTTTTACTCCATTACAATGGTGTCGAGTCAGATATACGTCTGTCGAGATTCGACAAGCTGCAACCTAAATTAATGCAGCAGATTGTTTGCTACGTGTAGGTCCGACGCGCAACGACATCCTAGTAGAGGAAAGAGCTCTGGGGAACTGGAGTCGCATACAAAGCTGAGAGGAGTCTGGGAGATGCCAAGTTTGCCCATCAACGAGCTCCAGTCTGCTCCAAGAAAGGGTCCAACCTCAGGGATGATCCCAGCGGCGAAACATCCATTTTACGAATAGTGTTACTTGTATTATGTCAGTACTTGCGGTTTCGAAGTTGTTCAGGGCATCGGACCACAACCTTAAATCATCACGGGACACGCAATCGGAAAGTGGCTTGGCTATCATAAGATTTTGGGCTACAGAACATTGCTGCCCAACTTTCCATTGCCATCAGAGCTCGTCCCATACCTAAGGTACCCTCTGATAGTCCCCGATTAGCTTGGGACTTGGGACTTTGAGTACCGTACCTAGGTACGTTGAGAAAGGCAGCAGCTCCATCTGCCTTTAGGAGCATCCATCTACGCCTCTAATTCCGGTCGCATCGCCATGAAGAAAACGAAGTCGCCTTTTTGTTGGCCCACTCAGATGTCTCGGGTGGGCCTCAAGGGTTGTTCTGATGGCTTATGGGAGGGGACAAGTTTCAAAGCACAAAATACTGGGATGAGCGCTTGCACTTCTAGCCTCACCGATTTCCAAAAATCAAGGGATCGGGGCTGTACTTGATGCACCATGATGCTCGATATCATTGAAGAATTCAAACCGGGTTGGAAGTCGCAGCTACCACAGGACAAGAAGCTACATTTGTCTTTCAATCCATACGGCGATGGCTCGGGCTACGATTCTCTCGGCGTGCATCTCATGATGAGGGACAGTGGGAAGGTCGACGGATCTTTCCAGTTGCTTTACCAATCATCGGGTCTGCTGGTCTTGTGTCATCAGCAAGATGTGGATTGTGGCTGACGAGAATTGTAGACGAGCACTTGTTTCCTGACGACTACGACACAAAGGCGCTTCGCATGTTACCGAGACAGCTCTTAAGATGGACGCTTCAGGTCGTCGATGATAGTCGGTCAGCAGCCACGATCGACCGCGCCTTCAGGTGGCTCTCTCACTGTGTCGAGCGTCTCGGCTCCTGCACGGTAGCCGACTCCGAGTTCAAGCCCAAGAGACTTGTTCATGTCGGCTCTCGCGACGACAGCTCGCCCAAGGTGCATCTCTTTGAGCCGGATCGACCAACGACGTACGCCTGTTTGAGCTACTGCTGGGGCACCGATCTCGACGGGGTTCTGACCACGACGACGGAAAACCTGTCGACGCACCTGGAGGGGATTCCCGAAGGGGCGCTCCCCAAGACTGTCGCCGATGCCGTCCTGCTCTGCAGGAACATGGGCATTCCCAACTTGTGGGTCGACTCCCTTTGCATTGTCCAAGACATGCACCAAGACTGGGCACAACAGTCGTCCGTCATGGGCGAGATTCATGCCAGATGCCACCTGGCGATGTACGTCAAGGACACGGCATCCTGCAAGGCGGGATTCTTGGGGCCCCAGCGGTTCGGCAGCCCATGATGGCAGCGACCTGTCAAGGCCGAGATCCCGGACGATTTGCTCGTCGGGGACTCAAAGTTTGCCATGCGTCTGCAACCGTCGGGGTGGCACTACGAGCGGCCCAGCTACCCCCTCGAGACGAGAGGCTGGACCTTGCAGGAATTCCTTCTGCCCAACCGGAAACTCTTCTTCACCAGCGACGAGATGAAGTGGGAATGCTGCGCGCGCCACATATGCGAATGCGGAGATGAGACCTACCTGCTGCCCTAGGGAATGAACCAGGGAAGGCCAGTGCTCTTGGACATGAAAGAAGTCATGGGGCTCTCGGGCAGGCCATCATGGCGTTCCGGAAACAAGAAGCACACTCACTCGACCCTGCTCCGGGACTGGAAAGGTCTCGTCAAGGACTACTCCTCGCGGAACCTCACCAACAGCGCCGACAAGCTAAGCGCCATATCCGGTCTGGCTGCCATGATGACCAGAGCAATGGCGGTTGTCGGCGCGAGCCAGGACACCTATCTGGCTGGACTGTGGGCGAGCGACCTCCCGACTGGGCTGACATGGACGACTTCGGGCGGCACAAGGCCGGCCCCGTATAGGGCGCTCACATGGTCCTGGGCATCCCTCGACGGGCCCATGACAAACTTCTATCCCAACCTGCCGTTCCGCCCCAAATTCATGTCGCACAGGTCCATCGATTTTGAACTGCACGAAGCGGTATGCTTACCAGAAGAGGGCTCCAATTCCACCGGAAGACTGCTGGGGGTGCACCTGACTATCCTCGGCGCTGTTGCGCCACTCGAGCTGGTTGCCGTGAGATCGATGCCTTCGATGATCGGCCCCGCCAACCTCACTAGCAATAGTACCACGGGATACTGCGCCGTCAGCCTGGACTGCCCTGAGACCGAGACCAACGCAGCTTCCGACTACTTTTGCGTTCGGTTGATGACATGGAATCGAGATGGGAAGGGTCAGACAATAAACTCCAGGCCAAGACGAGTTGAAATCGGGTGTTGGATACCTCCCAAAATGTGTTTCCTGGTCCTCCGAAAATGTCCCGGAGAAGACAATCTGTTTGTGCGGGTTGGGCTCGGGTGCTGCATAGCAGAGAAGGCAGCGTCAACGGAGTCGCCGGGGGACAGAGAAGCATCGTATGGCACACCGGCGTGACAGTTTCCGTTGTTTGAACATGCCGAGTCCAGACTGATCAAGATAGTGTAGCGTGGACTGTTCAGTCTTGAATAGGGACGTTGGCGTGATGATCAGCTTACATCCCCATGTCGATGCTCTGAGCCTCAGCAAGTCTCTTGCTTGTTCGTACACTACCTACCTAGTGTCGCCCTGCCAATAGTGGATAAGGACAGCCGCTAAACCAGTACAAACCCCCCTCATGTTCATCCTCCACGCACAACGCCACGTCTGCCAGCAATGTCTACTCTCCCCCAGCATTAGAGTGTGACGTCCCCGGCCTGCTCCCGCCCAAGCGCCGCAACTTTCCCCCAGCCTTGGTATTGAACAGACTCTTGACCCTCCTCAACCTTGACATCATAGCCATATCCTTCTTCCTCCTCGCCTCCTCATCTCCGACATCCTCTTGCTCCTCCCCGTCCCCGTCCCCGTCCCCGTCCCTGTCCCCGTTCCCGTCATCGTCAACGACTATTCCCGGCCGCCCAGCCACAGTCATCGGCCGCTCAGGCGTCCTCGGTGGGCCTAGGTGCCCGTCCCCATAACTTGCCCCATACCCAAACGCAGGAACACTACTCTTGCTCCTCCCGTGCATCATCTTCTTCCCACCGCCCGCAGCAGTAGTACTACCACCAGAAGAACCAGCAATCTTCTCCCGAATAAACGCCTCGTTCCTCAACCCGGTAACCAACACCTCCCACGCCGCCATCTCCCTCTCCCCCTTCCCACCACCATCTCCCCCAACCGCCGCCCCCAGCGAAGACAAAACCTTCTTCCCCGGATTCCGCTGCGCAGCAGGGTTCTTCCACGGGCAAAAGAAGCGGTGCTCGCGCAGCGGATTGAGATAATCCATCAGCGGGGACGCCGCTGCCGCCGCGTTGGGGTTGTCCGCCGCCGACGGCGACAACGACGACGACAGATCCGGGTCCGGCTCGGAGCGCGGCCGGAACATCCACAGCCCCAGGCGGCGCAGGCAGGTGTGGCACGAGGCGCTGTTGGGGATGGGCGTATGCAGGGTCGGGTGGGTCAGGGACTGCCAGCCGAAGAGGGCTAGAGCTAGGGCGGGGCGGTTGATGGTTGGTGGTGGTGGTGTTGTTGTTGTCGGTGTTGGTGTTTCGGTGGTAGAGGAGGGTGTGGGGTTGAGGTTGGGGTTGATGGTGTTGCGGGGCGGCGGGTCGGTGAAGAAAGTGGGTGGGAGGTAGGTGATGACTTTGTCGAGGTCGAGGGTAGGGGGGAGGCGCAGGGTGGATTCGTAGGGCAGGAAGGCGGCGCGGTCGCAGAGTTCGTCGTAGCGCTGGCGCAGACCTTGGAGGGCTAATTTGGGGTTGGGTAGCGGGAGGCGGAGGAGGGAGTCTGTATGTACGTTGTTAGAAAAAGTCAAATGACAAGGACACAACTTGGGTGGAACCTACCGTCACACCCTTTCCTCCTCCACAGACAGTCCTCGGCGTGCGCGTCGACGATCAGCTCGACGTACTTGTTCACCACCGACTCGGCGATCTCGGACGCGATCAGCACCGCAAACTCCCTGCCGTCCACCTCTTTCCGGTTCACCTTGACCACCAGCTCGGCGGCGCACAGCGCGCACCTAACACGCTCCTTGCCGTGGCACACCCAGCCGCGCTTGGCCCACTCGACCTCGCTGACGCGGTCCGGCTTGGGGGTCCAGTCGGTCAGCTCCTGGAAGGTGGCCAGCCGCCGCAGCAGCTGGTCGCGGTCGGCCGGGCAGTACTTGGGCGGCGGCGGCTGTCCTTCCCTCGCGTCTGGCGCGGGGCTCGCGGCGCCCGGGGTCCATCTGTGCAGGGTGATGTTGGAGATGGTGGTGCTCGGCGGGACGCTGCGTATGCTCGCGGGCGAGGATCGCATCGGGGTGCCTTGGACATGCAACGTGGTGTGTCTGGTGGGTGTCGCGGCCGGGTCGCCGACGCGGCGCTTCTTGTGGAGGTCGAAGTCGCTGGCCATGGCCCGCGAAGATGAATATGGCGATGATCGCTGCGATGCAGGAGAGGAGGGTGCGGGATCGGCGAGGCTGCGGTCGTCGGTCGCGGGCCGGTTCCCAATGCCCTGGAGCAGCGCATTGAACTTGCGCTTGACTGTGGCATTCATTTTGTGGGTGCGCTTTGTTCTGCCGTGTGCGCGCTGTTCTCCCGGCGGC